AAAATGGAAAATGGAGAGAAAAACTTAATAGCAGCCAGAGGAGAAAAGATACATTCTCTTCAATGGGGTAACCGTAAGACAGAATAATGCCTAAACTTCTAAGGACACAGAAAGATTGAAAGTAGAAGGATGGAAACACGTACTATGCAAACACTAAGTTAAAGAAAGCTGGTGTTGTTTTATTAGCACTACATACCTAATAACATAGCTTCAAAATATATGCATACCTAATAACATTGTTAATAACCTAATAACATAGCTTCAAGATATATACCACAAAATTGATAGAATTTGAAGATTAATATGTAAATTCAAAATTGCAGTGGAAGATTGCCACACTTTCTTAGTAATTGATTGAATAAGATAAAAATTCCAAAAGGATATAGGAAATTTAAACATGATTAACAGACATCTACGGAACACTATCCAACTGCAGTGCACACATCCATCTCAGGTACACATGGAACATTTAAAAAACTATTTTGGGCATAATACAAGTTTCAAAAAATTTCAAAAGATTAAGTCCATATATTGTATTTTCTCTGGCAATAGTGTAACTGGCCTAGAAATCTATTGCAAAAATTTGACTAAAAAGTGCCCAGAGATTTGGAAATTAAAAAATATACTTCTAAATAACCCACGAGTAAAAGATCAAACCATAACGGCAATTAGATATTTTATACTAAATAATAATAAAAATACTCCGTACCTAAAACTTGTAAGATTCAGTAAAGCCATGCTTAGGTGGGGATTTAAAATCTTTAATGCATATATTAGCATAGAAAAATTAATTAGGCTTAATTTAGATTAGAATTATTATTATCATGCAAAAAGTATTCCACAACATATCTCTAACGTATCCCCCTCTCAGGATCCAGGTTGTCCTCTATCAACACCACTCTACTGAATTCCACATTTGGGACATAAGCTTGTGAAACCTAGCTGTGCCATTTACCATTCACCATAAAAATTCTGAAAATCAGTGATATAATTTAACTTCTTAAGAAGGTAAAGAAAGAACAGTGGACGAAATTTTAAAAAGTAGAGAAAGGGAATAATGAATAAGCGAAATAAATGAAAAAAAATTCTGGAGAGATCAACAAGTCAAAGTTTATTTTTTGAAAAGACTAATAAAAATCCACAAGCCGGCCGGGTGCGGTGGCTCACGCCTGTGATACCAGCACTTTGGGAGGCTGAGGTGGGTGGACAAGATGGCAAAACCCCGTCTCTGCCAGGCGAGGTGGTAGGCACCTGTAATCCCAGCTATTCAGGAAGCTGAGGCAGAAGAATTGCTTAAACCTGGGCGGCAGAGTTTGTAGTGAGCCGAGATGGCACCACTGCACTCCAGCCTGGGCAAAAGAGTGAGACTCCATCTAAAAAAGAAGAAGAAAGAAAAATCGATAAACCATCTAGTGAAGCTGATCAAGAAAAAATGAAAAAGCAAATATTACCTCGGCTCAAACAGAATTTTTTCAAATACAAAATTATCATGAAGGTTTTGTATTAATACGTTTAAAAATTTAAATGAAACAAATTAAAAGATACTATTTATCAAAATGGATAAACAAAAGAACTCTGAGTAACCTTATAACAAAGAAATTGAATTGATCATAAAAAAAGAAGCCTTTCCAAAAAGAAAACTCCAGGATTAGGTATCTTACCAATTGAGTTCTACCAAGTATTAATACCAAATTTATTAGTGAATATATAATGCCAATTTACATAAACATTTCCAGAGAATGAAGAGAGAGAACAATTCCGAATTTGTTGGCATAGTCTTCATACCAAAACCTGAGAAAGACACTCCAAAAAAGAAAAAAACTGTAGGCCAGTTTCACTCATGCACACAGATGCCAAAATCCTAAATATTTTATTTTTGCTAATATTTTAGTAAGCAATATGGGAAAGGAATAAAGTGCTTTGACCAAATTGAGTTTATTTTAGCCATGCCAGTTTGATTCTGTATTTTAAAACCAAGCAATATAATTTACTATATTAACATAATAAAAATGTTATCATTAATAGATTCAGAAAAACCATTCGATAAAATTCACCATTATTTATCATTTAAACCAGGAATAAAGGGGAACATTTCTTTTTATTACAAAGAGCAGCTAGAAGAAACTATAGCAAAAATCGTATCAAATGGGGAAATATTAAAGGCTTCCCCTCTGAAATTAGGAATGAGAAAAGGATTCCTCTCACCTTTTCTGTTCCCCGCACTGTACGGCAGGTTCAAGCCAGTGCAACAGGAAAAATACGAAATAAAAACATGAACATCAAAAACTTTCTTTCAGATTATATTTTTGTACATATATAAAATTCAAGATAATTTATAAACTATTGGAATTAATAAGTGAGTTTTTGGATACAAGTTCAACAAAAATGAATTTATCAATATACACTTATAGATTATAAAATTGAAAATACCATTTATAGTAGCAAAATCAAATACTGTGAATAAATCTAATGAAAGATATATAAGACCTCTAGATTGAATGCCATAAAACACTTTTAAGAGAAATTGAATGCAAAATTAACAGTTAAGGGAAAACAAAAATCAAGCCGCTTTCCTTGGAAGTGGTCTCTTATCTTTTCTGAAGCCCCCTAAAGATACGTAACATTTATATTTATATTTATCTATATATAGCACCAAGCACCCAGAACACTGTCTACAATAGCTATTCAATAAATATAGAATGACTGGAAATTTGAATTTTAGACAGTTGGTCCTGGGATTGGGAAGAAAACATTGGGCGGGAGAAGAAGTCAGATACACAAGTCAATTTTTTAGCGATGTTATTATGGTTCTCTATCCAGACCATGTTAAACATTTATTGCTATCAACTAAAAAAAAAATATTTTTAATCTTATATATTTTTAAAGTGACTATTTTAGAACTCACACATAGTTTCCTAGCAATTCAGCAAGTATATTCATGTAATATGGATTGTTATAAATGTTGGCTGGTTAACATCGATATCCAGGACTTGAACTCAGATCTGGAACAAGTAGACTTAATTAACATTCATAGAACTCTTCACTTTAAATACACAAAATATACACTCTTATCAGTACTACATCACACATATTTACAGGTTTAAATGAAATATTGGTTGGCTGCTTGTTAATTATTTTCTTCCCTCATTTTTTTTTTATGTCTCTATTATTAAACACAATTACAGGCATACCCAGTTTTAGACTGCATTCTAGCCCGGGCAATAAAGCAACACCCCTGTTCTCTCTCCCTCTTCCTCTTCCTCTTTCTTCCTTTCCTTTATTCTTTTTCTTTTTCTTTTTTTTTATTCTTTTTCTTTCTTTCTCTCGTTCTCCAAAAAATAAAAAAAAATAAAATAAAATAAATGTTGGCTGGTTGTGCTTACTAAATAGAAAACCAATTTATTATGTATGCTGGACCTGTTTCCCAATGGTTAGTTTTCATAGGTTACAAAGACTGGTTATTTCACTAGCTTGACTTTTCTTCTCCCAATTTTTTATTAGATTTTATAATTATGAAGAAGAAAAATGGTGTAGGGGGATATGCATGGCACATGTTTAATATTTATCTCTCTTTCTACACACACATACACATGTATACGGATGTATATGTTTGGGCAAAGTTTGCATAGCTGATGACGGTGGACAGATGGTTCAAGGAAAGGGCAGGTATCTTGACAGGTATGCATCTGGATGAGAAGGGAAACTGGCAGAGAATTGAAAATTCAATTATAATGTAAAAAATTGTTCTTATAGTCATGTAATCATTCCATAAATATTTATTGAATTATTTAAATTTGTAAAATATTGTTCTAGGCACTGCATACAATGGCAAAGAAATCAGACATGATCCTAGCTCTCACAGAGCTTACAGTCTAATGTGAGAAATAAATATTAAGCAACTTACATAATTATTTCATGGCAATTATAAGTGCTACTGAAATATCTGTGCCTTGAAATCACATGGAGTGCATGAAGAATGACAGTAACTAGGGGATCAAGAGGAAAGACGTTTAGCTGATTTTTAAAGGAAGAAGACTTTATTGGTGATGATGGGGAGTGGGAGGGGCATAATTCCAGGATATTATAATACATGGAAAAACTGAGCAAAGTCTTGTTGGTAGGAAGAAATATAGTACGTCCAAGAACTGAAAGGTCAGCATGATGGTACACAGTGAGCAACAGGAACAGTGGCCTTGAATGGGGCTGGTGTATGCAGGGGGAAAAGCATGCAGGGCCATGTAAATTGGGTTAATAATTTTGTTCTTTATCCTAATAACTGCAGGATGCCATTAAAGGGTCTTAAACACCCACCCTAACGTAGGAAGCAGGTTGGTACTGCCGAAAGAGTGTTGGTCTGGCAACCAGACCTAGAGTAAGGATTACAGACCCCTGAGGAAGTTACTAACCTCTTGCTATAATTTAATCTGTGTAATGGTGGGAAGGCTGAAGTTTATCTCAAGGAAAGCTGGGAAGTTTTCTTTAAAATGATAAGTAGGGAAGAGGGTAGTAGTAACCAGATACAAAATGAGTGCAAACAATGTTTAGCAGGAATGGAAAAGTAGGCAGAAGAGAGCAAGATGGGGAAATTCAGCTCATCAGGGATACTGAACTTAAAGGCAGCTAGAGGTAATATCAGTCAAAAGCAAGGTTAGGGGGTGGGAAAGGATTTATTAGCAAGCCTCATCTTCATCTGTAGCTCCACGTCTCCTTCGCCCCAATGTTTTTGACACAAATAATGGACGTTCTTCAAGCTTATGTAATGTTATGCAAACACAGTTTCAAGCACTCCAGTTCTTGAGATTTGCTCAAACCAAACCCTTTCTATTTAAAAACTCTAGAGCAGCGAGGGAAAGCAACTCAGCACTCTGCAGGACAAGGCTGCATGAGAGAGAGTTTTGAGGGAGGAGCAGTTAGAAGGAATTAACTGGGTCACTTAATTCCAAAGTGTTCATGCTGAATGGGACCTTGGAGATCACCACGAAAGCACACTCCTAACTTTACAGATTAGAAAACAGAAATGTTGTTTCCGAGATGCTTTCGAGACGAGGTGCCTTTCCCAAGGTGACGCTAAGTGGAGGAGCCCAGTCAGAGTCCAGGGGTCCTTCCATAACCCTTGGTGGTCTCTCTTTACCTGTGAAGCCGCAGCGCGCTTCCCAGCCCCCCGCAGAATGCCTGGCTGCCTGGAGCTCTCCTCCCGTGTCGGGGCGGCCTCCTGGGGCTCCCTCCTCTTTCCACTTAGGTGCTGGGGCGGCCACCCGGTGCAGGGTGGGCACGGCGCCTGCCACCAGCCTCAGGCGCTGGGAGAAGTGCAGGTTCTTCTGGATAACCGAAGAGACGTCGAAACAGGCTGGGGCAAAGTGGTCAGAGCAGATGACCGAGCGGTCATGGCCCTCGTACCAGTCGGCGCGGCAGCCCCGCACGAAGCGGTCCCAGAGCAGCCGCGCGGCCCGGTCCTTGGGGAAGCGGAACAGCGACTTCCCAGTCTTGGTGGTGTTGCCGCAGTGGGCGGCCACGCAACGGGCAGGCATGGCGGTCGTCGTCGGTGCCTGGGAGCTGAGGTCTCCGGACCTTCGCCCTTGGGCACGCTCCTCGCGGCGGCCTCGGAGAGGCAAGTCCTCCCCTCCTCACCCGTCCGCTCCGGGTCGGGATGATTTCCTTCCCTACCTCTGGTCACCGGAAGTGGCGATCTGGGGCCCCCAGTGGGAGGGCTCTTCGATATCTTCCTCCTACTCTTTCCTGCACGGCTGCCCGGGAGCCAGTGGCCACAAGCAGAGGGATACAAATTTCGCGCGGGCAGCGCTGAGGTGGGCCGTAAAGAGGAACGGACCGGAAGTGGCGGTTGTCATAGCCACCAATGCGCCCAGCCTCTTCCCCAGCTTATCCTGCTCCCAGTACTCCTGCTCTGTTTTTATGAGGCCGGGAAAATAGAACAAGGAAGTGGTGACGCCCTGGGCCCTCACGAATACAACGAGAGGCTACAACGACTGCGTTGCCCCATCGATTAGGGAGCGGTCCAGACCGGAAATGGTCGTTTCTATGGTAACCCTGAGCAGGTTGCCTGGGAGATGACCTCTTTCGGGTCTCTCTGAATACCTGCTGTAGCGTCACCTCGAAGGCAGATCTATCAGATATCCTGGACTGTCTTCTATCATGATTCCCGGGAAATACCGCTCTATTTCTGGCCGGGCTGCGAACAACGTAAGTTGGGCCTTCTACTTTCTCTTTCTTCACACATTGGTACGCTTTCTGACTGGCGTCTTTGTCCTAGAAGATGGGCTGCATTATTGGCACCGGGACCGCTGTGTCTACTCAAGCTATTGTCTGACCCGGGCTTGAGGTTCGTGGGCTGGACCAAGGCACAATTTAATATTGCATGATGCATATTCAAAGTCTTGTCCAGGATCTGGGCTCCCCAGAAGGTGGAGCTGGTCTGCTGTGAAAAGCTCGGGTTTATTTAAATTCCTTTAGCCAGTCAATTCCTTTTTCTCCCCCCCCACCCCCCCATCCCCCATTTAACTGTGAAGAGAATTTATCGTTAGGGACTGCCACCCCCTCCACCTGTCCCATTGAGATATTTATTTAGACATGAATGACAATTGTCGAAAGCCTGAGGTAATAGAGGGTTAAGTTGCTGCCGACATTTTGGAAAATAAATCAGTGAAACCTTTTAATTCTTAGATGTGATTTTTATTGTTTTCAGCAAATCCTCAGCTCAAGACCATTTGCCAGAAACAGAAATCGAGCATTCTGTTCTAATTTTTTGTTTTATTTTTATATGTACATTTTTTGAAATATGTGTTTGTGTATTAAGAGCAAATTTTATGGTTTAATTTTTACATTTCAGGTGAACTGTGGGCTTCATCTGGTTATTCAGACATCATCGCTTCCTGAAAAAAACAAAGTAAGATTTAAGCAGGTTGGCATTTAAATTGAAGATTGTTTTATATTCTACACAAATAGTAGCATGATTTAAAGAGTAGATTCTAAACTGAAAATTTTAAGTATATTTGATTTCCAGTTTAAGGCTAGTTCTTACTTTCTGCCTACATAAAGCCAAAATAACCCTCTTTAAAAACTTAATGTTATTTCATTGATTGCAAAACGTAAGGGTTTTTTTTTTTTTTTTTTTTTTTACATTTACCATTTGAGACAGGGTCTAGCTCTATCACCGAAGCTGGGGTGCTGGGGTGCAGTGGCATGATCTTGGCTCATTGCAATTGCAACTGCTGCTTCCCAGGCTCAAGTGATCACTCCATGTCAACCTCCCGAGTAGCTGGGACCACAGGTGTATGCCACCACACCTGGCTAATATTTTTGTGTTTTTGTAGAGATGGGGTTTTGCCATGTTGCCCAGGCTGGTCTCAAGCTTCTGAGCTCAAGCAATCCATCTGCCTTGGCCTCCCAAAGTACTGGGATTAGAGGCAACAGCCACCACACCCAGCAATATTTACACATTTTTGAAATCAGGAGCCTTCTTAACATTGATGTCATAGTTTAATTGGGGAGGTTTTTTCTTTCTTAGTAGAGGGTAAAATAATGGTATGTCTTACTACTGATGACACCTTAGATAAAATGGTAATTTGTGAGGGCATATCCACACATCCCATTTAAAATCAGGAAAGAAAAACTAATAGGTTAGCAGTGGACACATGTTAGGCTTAATGTTATTTAGAAGCTAAGATATGAATATGAGATTTTTTTCTCCTAGACTATTTGCTCAATCTATAGCATTTCCAGAATTTCTGGCTTTTGATTTAGTTTTTGAGATTTTGGGATAAACATGTTTTTCTTTCCCTTCTGTCTCACCTCAGCATTCATACCCACCTACCTCCTACACAACTATGTCTCAAGACACACCGTGATTTTTCTTTCTTTGACCAAGTTGGAAACCTCTAACCATCACACTTCAGGTGTTTCCTAAAAAGTTATTAAATAGGTGTCACTGGAAGAACTCTAAAGTGAAGGGCAGAATTCACAGATAACAGCATGAAGAAGGGGAGGAAGGTAAATGGAAGGGCATTAGTCAAGGAGGCAGCTGTTGATTACATTATATATGAATATGAAAATGGTGAACATTTAGAAAATAGACCATTTGATCATCTCAAATAAACAGCAGTTAGCTAGATTAATTGAAAATATTCTTTATTATAATTGGGCATAATGGATTCCCTACAGAGCTTTCCTAATTGATTTCACTGGATAAATCCTTTTTCACCCTTACAATGTTTTTAGGAACCATGTGCTTCATCCAAACATTCTTTCCAAACCATTCACTTTCTCTTGTGTACACATGTATTCTGATAAAATACCTTTAGATCATATAATTCCTAAGGATATAATGCAAATGCCAGCATAATGTTTGTAGTATGGATAAATTAGAAGCATCTTAATTCATTTAAGTTACGTATTTGGGGGTTTTTTTGTGGCTACTCATAAGGAGTTGTTTTGGTTTTGTTTTTCTCAATCTTCCTACCAGATGATTATTTTAGATCCGTTTTAGATCAAGTGAAAACCCTCTTAGAAGGCTTAAATATACAATTTTATTATGTTGTAATAGGACATTTAAAGGGATTATAATGATCAAAACTGATGTTTTTCAACAGCATTTTATTTATATTATGTGCTTTTTTTGTAGCAAATGATTCTTTTAATCATTGTATTTATGGTGAGAGTGCAGGGATTGGAAGTGACTCAGCTTGGAGTATCTTTTATCTGACCTCATAAAAGTGACCCTGATTTTGTGCATGGTAAAATACAATAGCAGAGGTGCAGCCATCACCTCTATCTAGTTCCAGAATTTTTTCATCATTCCAAATGAAATCCCTGAACCCATTAAGCAATTACTTCCCATTCTCTGCTTCCCTTAAACACGTGGAAGCCACAAATATGCTTTCTATCTCTACAGATTTGCCTATGTGGTCTTGTGTCTGGTTTCTTTCACTTAGCATGATGTTTTTAAGGTTCATCCACATTGTAGCATGTATATCAGTTATTATATGTTGTTTTTAAATTATCTTCGTTGCTTAGTGTTAAATTCATCTCCAAATATTTTTTCTTTAATAATGTTTTCCAGGTTGAATTCAAGCTAAATAAAGACACGTCGTCATTCCCCGGTAGACTTTTACAACATGAACTTGAAAGAAACTGCTCAAGTCGGCAAGGTATTGTCAGTGAGTAGAGGTCAGATGTGGTTCTTCATCTCTGAATAGTATTAACTGTTTAATAATGTTGAATTACTAGATTCAAATAAACTTGAATTTAAAATTAAATGGTTCATTGGGACCAAATTGGTTTGGTATTAAAAAAAAAAACATTGGTTTTATATACATAGCATAGTAGATGATTTCCAGTACAGAAAAAGCTGTTGTTATTTTAGTTTGAGGGTGGGCTACACACTAAAGAATGGAAAAAGAATGTTCCAAATACCATATTAAAACAGCATTTGGAAGTTGCTAATTAGTGAGAGTAAGAGTATGGGAACACATATATTAAGGAAATAAGGAAAGAATGGAAAGTCAGGAGTAGAGAAGAAACAATCTTTCTCTGTTACAATCACATATAATTATAGATTTTATATTAAAGGCCTTAAACTTTAGTGTCTATCACCTGGGATCTTATGAAAAATGCAGCTTCTTAGTGCTCCCCCTCCATCTTCCCCATTCTGATTTTGTAGGTCTTGAGTGGGACTTGGAAATGTGCATTTTAATAATGTCACAAGTGATTCTGAGATCTATGGCTTGTGGGTCATCCTTTGACAAATACTACCTCATATGATCTGGTTATATTTCTGAAATATATTTTTCAAATCAAGGACAAATTTCCTTCACATTTGAATCTTAGTTTGTTGCTGACAGCCAATAGCTTTCTGTAATGTGCTCATGTTAAACACTTCTAAATCCACATATACAAAACTACCTCTACCTCTTAGGAGTTTACATGAGAGGGCTGATCAGTATAGGCCTTTCTAGGTTGTTTATGCCATTACTTTGGGAACATATGGTGATTTTTGAATATTGGTTAATTTTCTCTCTTTTCTTTTCTGGGCCTACCTCTTGGACTCATCTAATCTGCCATGTCTTTTCTCCTTCCTACATTCTACACTCTTGTCTTGGCCAATTGCTGGACATGACATCAGCCTAACTGTGGTTCCACAGTGCAGGAAGCATCTGTCTTGTCTTTTTTTATTCAGTTCAGTATATGTTTATAAAGTGAGTATTATGTGCCAGTCACTGTTTTAGGCACAGAATTATAGAGGTGAACCCTCAACTAGGGTTTTTATGTTTGCATTGTGAATCTCCTTGACATTTTTGGTAACAATATCTTAAAAGTTTTTCCAAAATCATGAATCAAACTTAAGTATTTTCACTAAGCTTTTCTTGAGTAAGAGTAGGGAGTTAGCAAACAGATTTAAGGATGGCTGTCCAGGCAAATTTATTTAAGTGGTAAAGTATTACTAGATATTTGCTAATGAGGAGATAGTATGGATGCATTGAATTTTGTGAACCTGAGAGATGAATAAAGTTTTATACATAAGTAATGACCCCTTCAGTATGAATTAACTCTTCAGGGAAAAAAAAACCTAATTGGTTTGTCATTTAAAAATTTTATTCAAAATTAGTTTCTGTGACAAGATACTCATTTGATATGTCTTAGATGTATACCTGGTTACTTCCAGTGTGTTTCCTCCATAGTTCCAGGCAGTTTTGTGTAAAGATGGCCACATAACTTATGGTTATTTTCTTGACTTTTGTACTCAGATTTTACCTACAAGGGCATACAATTTTGGAAAAATTATAAGTAGCACTTCATCGGGAAAATTTAGGGATGTCTGTCTAATAAGTTGTATCCTGATACCCAATCATTATAATTAATTTCAGCCATTTCTTATTTTTTAAAATTAATCAAACATAGCCTGTCCACACAAATTAACCAGTGATACTCTCAGTCAAAAGTAAAGAAACTTGATATTTTATTTAAGCTAGTGAGTTTAAAACTTGATATGTGATTTATTTTAGGCTTCTTAGAATACTGTTAAGAATTGACCCCTGTTTCTTTGCGATTTTATAAGTGCCATATGTTGCAGGGCCTAGTATGTAGTAAAATTTCAGTTAACCTAATCTTAATTGATTAAATCCCTTGATTAGGAATTTTAAAATGTGTGTGTAGAAGGGAAGAGGCAACACTTTTCTCTTAAGATAATAGTAAATCACTGGAAAATCCAGAGTTAAGATTTTGGTTCCCAAAACAATCTCAAGGACAGGGCCAAGTGGACACACATGTATGGCAATAGGTACTATGTCATCCATCCATCCACCTGTCTATTCATCCACCCATCTGTTTATTTATCCATCCATGCATCCATCTCCTTATCTATATATTCATACATCCAACCAGCCACCCGGCCATCTGTGTATCTAGCATACAGTGCAGTGAACATTCTCACCAAATTTAGACCATTATACCTCTTAACACTTTGAGATGCTATTTATATTGAGATTCTTAAAAACAGAAATAACACACACAAAATAGATTTTCAATGAAGTCTTAGTAAACTGGAAAAACAATTAATTTGTCTACTGATTGCCTACTGAATTTAGACTTTACCAAGAATATAAAGAATGTAAAATGAAGTCCATCACTCAAGGAGATTGTAAATTTAATTTTGGAAGACAAGGGCTGCATATCTAGTAGGTTAGATAGTGATATAAGAAATACATAATTAGTCGGTTGCTATGGCTCATGCCTGTGATCCCAGCACTTTGGGATGCCAAGGTGGGTGAATTGCTTCAGCCCAGGAGTTCAAGACCCTGTCCTGAACATGGGCAATATGATGAAACCCCATCTGTAAAAAAAATGCAGAAATTAGCCAGGTGTGGTGGCACATGCCTGTAGTCCCAGCTATTCAAGAGGCTGAGGTAGGAGAATCACTTAAGCCCAGGAGTTTGAGGCTGCAGTGAGCTGTAATCATGCCACGCTGCATTCCAGCCTGGGTGACAGAGCAAGACCCTGTCTGAGAAAAAGAGAAATAAAAAAAAATGAAATAAACAGTAACAAACTGTTACAATGAAAATTTTGCCACATAGTAATGTGGTTTTTATGTGGGTGTTATTATACCCAAATATATATGTGGATATTTTGACTGCAGATCTCTCTGGTTCCCAGTTACTTAGAAGATCTGTTGTGCAATAAATTTAAGGCTTTTTACTAATCATTCTTATCTCTTTCTATTTATTGTAAGCAGTATATCACATTGATAGTAAGTTCATCATGCTGATAGTGATTATGACTTCTGTGTATAAAAAGAGCTAGAAAGTTTGAGAATAAAATTCCTCTATTTGCCAGGTGTAAATTAAATTTAATCTTCGATTATTGCCTCTGTATCTCAAGTCTTATAAAGTTTAAATCTGCCTCTTAAAAATTGAGGATTGCCTTGAAGCTTAACAAAATAATTCAGAAAACCTAACTGATGCTAACAAGTGAAACTGAGGTTGACTGCTGCTTGGAGTTTTTCAATTTTTTATCTTTAGTTGACCAGTTAATCTTTACTTAGTTAATTCTTAGAATTCAGTCAGTCTTTAGAATGATTTCTGTTTGTTTTGTTTTTGTTTTTTTAACCATCTTGACTTGATGCTTGGGTAACCTGATAGCATGTGGTCATGCCAGGAAATCAGTTCATTGGTGAATATGGTGTCAATTCTGAATGCAGATGCTCCAGAACATCATTATTATCTTGATATTTCATAATATTCAGAAAAGTGAGATGTGAGCACTGATTATTTTGTTCAAGAAATAAGGTGTGAGATACTTCAGTTTATGCCTTACAGACCTGAAGAAGCTAGCAAATGCCATGACCCTATAGCTTTTTAATATGATTTATATGCAACTTTAAGTTGTCATTATATTGTCTGGTGACCTCCCAAAGAGTAGGTTAGCTTTCTAGATTTGGTTTTCATCTTTTTGTTAGTTTCAACAGGAGAATTCTGTGGAAACTTCAGGTTCTATTTACTGTTATACTTATTGCTCCCTTCAAGCATTTCAACATCCGTTGCTGCTTTCAGAAGATTTTCTTTTTATAGAGGAAAATATGGTCGATTTCCTCTGGCATTCAAACTGTCACGTTTGACCCATTACTCAAATCTTACCTCATTTCTGGAACTTCTCACCGTTTCTTTTTGACCATTTACATTCTCCTAGTTCTTTAGAAAATGTCTTAATGTTCCTCCCCCCAGACCCATCTGTATCCACCTTCATTAAGTAAAAAATTACCAGACACACTTATGTGCAAATTTATAAGTAGGTATTCTTTTTATTCTGCATTTATGTATGTTGTTCTATTTATGAATTTCACATGTGTATTTATTAATTTCAGTCTGCTAGATTGAAAGCTACATAATGGCAAGGACACCATCTAACAAACAGCCTATAAACCTTAGAGGGGCGTCATTTACCCTGTGGACCCTAACTACAAGTCTACTAGATTTACTGACATCCACTTTGGTGTCTTGGCAATATTCTTTACTAACAGTGGCTGAACATACAAAGAAAGAGATGATATGAGGTTTACATCTGCCATCCAAAACGACTTTTTGTGTATTTCCTGTAGTAAATCTATAGTAAAGTCATGTATTATGTAGTTTTGTGATAAATTTTTTGATATTTTGAAGGAGATGGAAGAGTAATAAGTCCTTCGCCTTGTAATAAATCATCATGCATCTCATCCACACCAAATGTGACAGAACTATATGGGCTGGAAATGAAAGCTGCCACGAGCTCCTTATCAGCATTTGGAGATTCTTCCATTAAGACACCTTCAAAGTCCAGAATCCGGCAGGGCTGTCATAGTGCTGGCCCCAATGTATCTGGTAATGAGGGACTATCATCTTAGTTATAAGAGAGCTAAAACTTAAGGAGTCAGGATTACAAAGGGATAAAGATAGCACTGGAGTAGTTCTGTACTTTCAACCAATCTGTAAGGCAAGGGAAACATTATTTGGCATATATGGAACACATAGTTTACGGAGGAAAGAAACAAATTCAACTTAGTAATTTCAAGTATGGAGAGCTATAGAAACTACACTTTCTAGATAAGATATCTATAGGTGCCAAAATTCTCCAAATATAAGGTGACTTTAGTTTCAAGGCTTTGAAGGTTTTTCTTAATTAAGTAATTTGTATATCATTTTTAATAGGTGATCATATTAATTTGGTGAGCTCATCATTGTCATCATTTCCTATTCTTCAACGTTCTTCTGAAGAGAAAATTCTTTACTCAGACAGGTTGAGCCTAGAAAGGTGAGGACAATTTCTTTTCTTTTCTTTTTTTGACTAGGTAATACATAGACGTGGTACAAGATTTGAAAGATGCAAGTCTCCCTCCTTCCTCCTCTTCCCCAGTTATTCAATTCATTTTTTTTTAACCAATGTTTTGCTTCTCCTTTCAGAGGTATGGTGAGGAATTTTATATCTATGTAACATAAAAGGCTTGAGTATACTCTACAAGAGTACTGTAGCAATTCTAAAATACGACATTGATGAAAATGGATTTCAGTATAGAAACAAACCGCAATATAATCCTCACACGAGCTTCCTGGGCCCTATCTAGTGTAGTTTCCTGTCACTTCATTGGCTTTATCTCTTCCTACACTCTCCTTCAGTCATCGCTCGAACCATACCTGCCTCCTTGCTGTTCCTTGAACACACCAAGAATGATTATACCTCAGGAATTTGGTACTTGCTGCCTGGAATGCTGTTCCTCCTCATATCTCTAGGCTCATTCCCTTACCACCTTCAGGTCTTCACTCAAATGTCATCATTTCAGGGATGATTTTCTCTGGCCATCCTCTCCAAGATTGTAACCCCTTCCACGCTTTAGTCTCCAGTTCCCTTCTCTGCTTTTATTATTTTTCTTCTTAGCATTTATTACCCTATAACATAATAACTATTTGCTTATGTTTATTGTCTGTCTCCTACTAGAATACAGGTTCCATAAGCACAGAAATTTTTGTCCAGTTCTGTATTCCTCATATCTAGAACAGAACCTGGCACAAAACAGGCTCTTGATACAATTTTTTTAAGTGAACAAATGCGTTTAGAACTTGATCCCCATCTTTACATCTAGGAAACTATCCACAGTAGAATGGTGGATGAAGGATCCCAACCTCTACCCCAATGGCACAACCAGCAGAGAACAAACATCTCTGCTATGTATACCTTTAGCTTAGCAGTGCACACCTGACAACAAATTATATTGAACTATCTGTGTTTATAGTTGGGAAAAACTGCTGGAGGTTCTAACATGTTCTTTTGTAGGCAAACTAACACTCAAGGGCAGTATCTCTCATGATGTCTTTGCAGTATAAATGGTTTCTGAGAATGCTGTCTAATATTTATAACTTTCATGATATCATTTTAAGGTTTTGAGGGATTTTTATGACAACTTTTCTCTTACTATTTAAAAGACTGGCAAAAAATAGCACCTCAGCCCTTCAGTTTCGTGTTACTTGGTATTAGCAGGAGCCAGTAACAAGTTAGGCACTTTCTTTGTAGCTTGGGGTGACTCAGGCAGTTATAAAGATGAGTCCTTAACAGCATGGGCCTCTAGGGTAGAGAAGCAAGCTTTGATCAGGTGGAGACTTGCTTATCAAGAAAATCAGGATTAAGAGAACTGATTCCGCTTCAAAAGTTTGTTGTGAACTGGCAGAATCACAAAGATATCATAAAGTTAGGCACAGTTTGACAAGAGCCAGGATGCACAGTCAAGAAAGTTTGGCTAGAAGCTGGGAACTAACTCAGGGATGATTTTTGAGAGCCAGTGAGTAGCGTCAGTGACTTCCAAAGGCAGATCTGCCATGCTGTGTATCTTCTTAGCTAGGAGACTGAGGGGTCAAGAGTAGAATCCAACCCTGAGAAGAACTGTTTGAAAGAGCTAGGCTCTAGCTGTTTTGGGAGTTAGGTTAGGCCTGGAGTACCAGGAAGGCAGCCTATCAGCACCAATAAGGAAACACAGAAGCAAAGGCCTAGTCCAATAGATGTATTAGTAATGGGTTAGGACGTATAGCAACTCCAGAGTTTTGTAGGCCTAGAAACTTCCCTTGAGGGCACTGGGCCTCTGGTTATTATGTATGTTTTGCTTGCTTGTTTTGGTGGAGTGACAGGGGTTTGTGGGGTTAAGCAGTATGTAAGTGAGCCTTGGCACTGGGACTTAACCACTGTGTTTAGAATCAGAGAAGGTGACTTTATTTCAAGCTACTGTAGCTTATGTAAGAGGGAGGATGGAGGTTATTTATTGTCCTTTCTTAGTCATGACTAGTTCAAGAATTGGATGAAATAGAAGTTGGGGAATATCGGTAAGTTTAAGAGAAAAAGAAAAAGACTGAAGCAGAAGTGAGACGATTTAAAGTTGTTGCTAAGCTGATATACAAAGATATAAATTTTAAGGTAGAATACTTACAATTTATTAATTTATAATTTATATACTAAGTTTATTCATTTATCACAGTTGTGATAAAATAGATGAAATATTGTGATAAAATAATTGAATATATGAAATGAATTTTAAATATTCTGTGATAAAATAATTGAATACATGAAATTAATTACAAATATTGACCACACATCAAAAGAATTAAATATTGCCCCAAATTCCTTTTTCTTTCTGCTATCTTAAATAGGTTTCTTTAGGATCTATATTTTTAAACATCATATCTTTGTTAGCCAATAACATGCAGTTATTTTTTTTCTGCAAATCATTCTTTTTTCTCTTTATCAGGAAGATTCTGATCATTTTCATAGTTTCACTTATGCTAGTAACACTCTGATTTATTTTCTCTAAAGCTTACATTAACTTGATTTCTACTGAAAGAGAATATTTCTAATAAACTTCCCTATTAGAGTTGTTCACACCCAGATAGAGCTGAATTTCCTTTGAAGACTCCTTTTAACCTCTCAGAGTAGAATCCCTCAGGACCTCCTGTCAGCCCCTATTATTTTACTACTAGAATTCTTAAAGGGCCCTGAACTCATTTACTTCACCTGTAATACATTATAACATTTTGCATAACAGACGCTTACCGGTTTTCTTTTCTTTTCTTTCTTTTTTTTTTTTTTTTGAGACAGAGTTTCACTCTTGTTGCCCACGCTGGGGTGCAATGGTGCAATCTTGGCTCACTGCAGCCTCCGCCTCCTGGGTTCAAGTGATTCTCCTGCCTCAGCCTCCCAAGTAGCTAGGATTACAGGCATGTGCCACCACGCCTGGCTAATTTTGTACTTTTAGTAGAGACGGGGTTTCTCCATGTTGGTCAGGATGGTCTCAAACTCCTGACCTCAGGTGATCCACCCACCTCAGCCTCCCAGAGTTCTGGAATTACAGGTATGAGCCACTGTGCCTGGCCTATGGCTACTGTTTTAAATACAACTGAAAGCATATATTTCTAAGGTTTCATCCTACCCTGTAGCACTCTAAATGCTCTGCAAAGTTCAAAGTGTTGAGCATGTACACATATACTTAAAATCTTAGTTTCTGAGGAAATGTTAAGTAAGGACCACCTTGCCATTAATGGATCTTAGGATGATTTTTTTTTTTTTAAATCAAAGTAAATTGTAGATGGCTGAATTTCTTGCTCTTTTGAACATGTCATCCAGCTCAAGAACCTGTGATTCTCTGAGAGACCCTTTTATATGTTTTTAACTCTGATGACTTAGTTGCCTGGGCAGTTGTTATATCACTGGATTGATGCCAAGGGCATTTGTCTGGTTATGAGACAAGATTCTTTTTTTCCCCCCCCATTTATTTATTTTATTGCATTTTAGGTTTTGGGGTACATGTGAAGAACATGCAAGATTGTTGCATAGGTACACACGTGGCAGTGTGATTTGCTGCCTTCCTCCCCATCACCTACATCTGGCATCTCTCCTCTTGCTGTCTCTCCCCAGCTCTCCACCCTCCACCGTCCCTCCCCTATTTCCCCCCAACTGACCCCAGTGTGTAGTGCTCCCCTCCCTGTGTTCATGTGTTCTCATTGTTCAAAACCCACCTATGAGTGAGAACGTGCGGTGTTTGATCTTCTGCTCTTCTGTCAGTTTGCTGAGAATGATGCTTTCCAGGTTCATCCATGTCCCTACAAAGGTCACAAACTCATCATTTTTGATGGCTGCATAATATTCCATGGTGTATACATGCCACATTTTCCCTGTCCAGTCTATCATCGATGGGCATTTGGGTTGGTTCCAGGTCTTTGCTATTGTAAACAGTGCTGCAATGAACATTCGTGTGCACGTGTCCTTATAGTAGAACGATTTATAATCCTTTGGATATATACCCAGGAATGGGATTGCTGGGTCAAATGGAATTTCTATTTCTAGGTCCTTGAGGAATCGCCACACTGTCTTCCACAATGGTTGAACTAATTTACACTCCCACCAACAGTGTAAAAGTGTTCCTATTTCTCCACATCCTCTCCAGCATCTGTTGTCTCCAGATTTTTTAATGACTGCCATTCTAACAGGCATGAGATGGTATCTCAATGTTGTTTTGATTTGCATTTCTCTGATGACCAGTGATGATGAGCATTTTTTCATATGTTTGTTGGCCTTTTGTATGTCTTCTTTTGTAAAGTTCTGTTCATATCCTTTGCCCACTTTTGAATGGGCTTGTTAGTTTTTTTCTTGTAAATCTGTTTTAGTTCTTTGTAAATTCTGGGAGACAAAATTCTTTCAGCCATTTAAACCTTTATCACAAAAGGCAATTAGGTTGAATGTTTTCTCATGTTAAGTCAATTTCATGTGAAATAGCTTATGTTTGAGGTTTTTTTTAATACAATGAGAGCTTAGACATAATTTTAATAATAAACACTGTCAAAGTCTATTGGCTTTTTTGTGAATGATTTATAATTAAATATAAGTTGCTTAGTTCATGGGGGTTGGAAGTGGTCCAACTTATTTTTTTTCTCCTCACAGAATGAGAGCACAAAGATACTACCAATAATATTTGTAGGAGGAGGTATGCAGCTGAATCATAACCTAATTAACTTTTTAAATTTTTTCCTAGACAAAAGCTGACTGTATGTCCTATCATCAAAGGGGAAGAACACCTTCGTTTGTTGAACTTCCAACATAATTCTATAACTCGGATACAAAATCTTTCTAATCTACAGAAGTTAATATCCTTGGATTTATGCGATAACCAGATTGAAGAAATTAGTGGGCTTTCTACTCTGAGATGCCTTCGTGTCCTTCTGTTGGGGAAAAACAGGTATTCTTTGCAGAGCAGTTTTTGTTTGTAGCCTAATGTTATGTATAGGATTAATGTGGAGTCCTATGGTGTTTAGATGACAACTTAGAATTGAATAATACTTAAGAAATGAATAGAAATTTTTAAAGATTATTTGAATGGATTAAGATTCAGTTGTAATCTGTTTCATGAGATTCAAATAACATTTATTATGTTTTTTACTTCCATTGCTTTCCAGTGCCATATCTTATAGGGAAGTAAATAGCAGACTTTGGCCTTGATTTTATTTTCGTAGAACTTAGTTTAAGCATGTATATTCACTTTAGGCTTATGTGTTTCACTTGTGACTCTTTCCGGTGTTTGACTGAGGGTCGACACTCGATACTTGGTGATGGTCAGATCACAAATTGATTCTTTCTCAGATGGTAGTTTCATTTTGCATCTAACATTACATCCTATATGAACTTCCCCAGTTCCTTTTATGCAACTCTATTATGTAATGCAGCTATACAGTTCTTGACACATTTCTTTGAGAGTCATTCACAACGTTCATTCTATTTTACTGGATAGGTTTTGCAATGCCTACAAAGAAGGGCTGTATAGTAAAACCGAAAAATGATTTTTATATTATCAAATGAGGAAGTTTAGATATAGCATTATAACCAGGCTAGGTTCTCCTCCCTCATCTTTTCCTGCCTCCCACCCCAGCATGGATCTTGGATTACTCCTTGCAGGGAAAAAAAGTAATATCTTTTCCTCACCCATCTCAAGGTTCATGTCTGACACTCTATAACAAAGACATATTAACAAGAGAAAAGCATTAAAAATTTATTTAATACAACTTTTACACGGCACAAGAGCCCTTATAAATGAATACCTTCTAAAACAGGGAAAACTGCGTATTTTTATGCTTAGATTTGATAACAAGTGGACAATATGATTGGACAAAATAAGGTATGATCTAATGGTAATAAACTGGGAAAACTTAGCAAGGCCTGTTTGTTCAGATTCTTCTTGGTGTCTCTGTCTTCATTTCCCTTTTTGGGTTATATTTTATTCCCGTTGCTTCCTTCCATGAGGGTCATAAGACCCTCATTCCAGAGGAATCCTGCCCTATACCCTAAAAGGGAAGGGATAGATCAGATAATTCTATCTATCTGGAAGATAGATCAGAGAATTCTTTTTATAGCCTCAGGGGAGAAAGATGGGAGAAGGTCAGAGAGTGAGCTTCTTCCTTATATAATTTCCTCAATTTCCTTCTGTTTAAATTACTCAGTATGCCAATGTGCCATAGTTGGGGTATTGTATACTGAGCCTTGACTCTTTATTCTCACTACCCAGTGATAATATAAGATACTTTTCTCAATATCATGTCCCAGAGTTCTAGGCTCTTGTCTGTTCTTCATGGCTTCTATGAAGGCCCCTATCAGTGTAGTTTATTATCCACAATTAGTCCAAGTGTTAAGCATTATGTAGTCTGAGCAAATTTGGAGATTATCTTAGCCTGTTTATGTAGCTATTAGGCCCAACCCATTGGGGATCAAATTTTAACATGATGTTTGGTGGGGTCAAATATGCAAACCATAGCAGGGAGATTATAGAATCATAGAGTATTAGAGCTTGAAGTGACCTCAGAGAGTAGCTTCTCATTTTACAGATGGAGAAATGGAAAAGCAAAGTGACTTTTGCAAAGTTAGATGTATACAAAATCTATACAATAAGGGTATGCCACCAGAGCAGTTCACTGAGTAAAGTGAGAAGGGAAGATAACTTTTCATACATTTATGGCATTCTCTAGTCTCCCTATTCTTTTGCCCAGAAATTTCTCAGAGTTACTGATTTCTTTGCCTCGCTTATAATTATTCTTTAATACCATCGTCATTATTCCCTGCTTTTAGTTCTTGAGTTAATATTTTTTAGTAATATTTAAAATCACTTTCTCTAGTATTTAAGAGCTGCTCCTGGCTCCTACCATTTTAAGTCATCTTTCCATCTATTCTGTTTTCCTACTTGTACTTTTCAGCTTCTCTTGCTTCTTAGAATTAACCCTTTAGGGTTGTTTTGTTGTTTTGTTTTTGATAACTTGCGCCTTGAAGGCACCGGTCTATCTAACCTTCTGATTTTATTTAAGGTCTTTTTGTTCTTTCAACTCTAAGAGACTTAATGCCTTCCTACTATATCATTATGTTAGCGAAGTAAAAGCTATCTGATGCTGTCTCTTCTTCCTCTTTCTACTCCTCCATCTTTTTAATTTGTTATTTGTTTGGTTTTAGTCTTATTTTATTTTTCACATAAAGGAATAGCTGTTGAACCGTTCTAGAACTATTAGTGTTCTTGAATCAAAATAAAAAAAGAGTCAGAAGATAACTTTCCATATTCCCCCCATTGCATGTTTGAAGTATCAGTAAAATGCAAGTCTGGTGGTTCCTAGCCAAGATGGCCAAATAGGAACAGCTCTGAAGTGCAATTCCCAGCAAGAGCAACACAGAGGGTGAGTGATCACCACATTTCCAAATGAGGTACCAGGTGCATCTCAATGGGACTGGTTGCACAGTGGGTGTGAACCAAGAAGGGCAAGCCAAGGCAGAGTAGGGCACTGCCTTACCTGGGAGGTGCAATCCCCAGAGAACCCCCCTCCTTACCCAACGGAGGCACTGGGGGCTTTTCCATCCACTTCAGCACTCTGGTTCAGATACTGTGCTTCTCCCGCAGTTTTTATTGCCCATAAACCAGGAGATTCCTGGGCCAAAAAGTGCCATGAGTTTCCAGCATGGATGTTTCAGTCGGCACCATGGGTTTCCGCACAAAAACTTACACAAATCTGGGCAGCCATTTCAACTGGTGTCTGGAACACCTGGGACACAGAGCCATCCGTTCAACTGAAAAAGAGGGGACTGAAAGCAGGGAACCAGGTGGTCTGGCTCGGCAGATCCCACCCCCACAAAGACCAGCAATCTGAAATGCTCCGGATTGACAGTTTTGCAGCAAGCGCAGCTGGACCCTGGACCGTCAAGGTCTGTTGGGGGAAGGGCGTGTCCACTGTTACCGAGGGATGGGAGAAGGTCAGAGAGTGAGCTTCTTCCTTCTATAATTTCCTCAATTTCCTTCTGTTTATATTACTCAGTATGCCAATGTGCCATAGTTGGGGTATTGTATACTGAGAGACCCCATCCAAAAGTTGCCAACTACAAGACCACAGGTAGATAAATCCTTAAAGATGGGAAGAAACCAGCACAGAAAGGATGAAAATACCAAAAACCAGAATGCCTCTTCTCCAAGGGATCACAACTCCTTACCAGCAAGGGAAGAAAGGTGATGGAGAATGAGTCTGATGAACTGACAGAAGCAGGCTTCAGAAGGTGGGTAATAACAAACTTCTCTGAGCTAAAAGAACATGTTCTAACCCGATGCAAAGAAACTAACAACCTTGAAAAAAGGTTAGACAAAATGCTAACTAGAATAACCAGCTTAGAGAAGAACATAAATGACTTGATGGAGCTGAAAAACACAGCATGAGAACTTTGTGAAGCATGCACAAGTTTCAACAGCCAAATTGAACAAGCAGAAGAAAGGATATCAGAGATTGAAGATCAACTCAATGAAATGAAATGAGAAGTCAAGATTAGAGAAAAAAGAGTAAAAAGACATGAACAAAGCCTTCAAGAAATATGAGATTATGTGAAAAGACCTAATCTACGTTTGATAGGTGTACCTGAATGTGACGGGGAGAATGAATCCTAGCTGGAAAACACTCTTCAGGATATTAACCAGGAGAACTTCCCCAACCTAGCAAGGCAGGCCAATATTCAAATCCAGGAAATACAGAGAACACCACAAAGATATTCCTCAAGAAGAGCAACCCAAGGCACATAATCGTCAGATTCACCAGGGTTGAAATGAAGGAAAAAATGCTAAGGGCAGCCAGAGAGAAAGGTCGAGTTACCCGCAAACTCACAGAGGATCAGACTCACAGAGGATCTCTTGGCAGAAACCCTGTAAGCCAGAAGGTGGCGGGGGGCAATATTCAACATCCTTAAAGAAAAGAACTTTCAACCTAGAATTTCATATCCAGCCAAACTAAGCTTCATAAGCAAAGGAGAAATAAAATCCTTTGTGGACAAGCAATTTCTGAGAGATTTCGTCACCACCTGGCCTGCCTTACAAGAGCTCCTGAAAGAAGCACTAAACATGGAAAGGAACAACCAGTACCAACCACTCCAAAAATGTACCAAATGGTAAAGACAGCGACACAGTGAAGAAACTGCATCCACCAACAGGCAAAACAACCAGCTAGCATCAAAATGGCAGGATCAAATTCACACGTAGCAATATTAACCTTAAATGTAAATAGGCTAAATGCCCCAATAAATGTCAACTGAATAAACACAGATTGACAAATTGGATAAAAAGTCAAGACCCATTGGTGTGCTGTATTCAGGAAACCCATTTCATGTGCAAGGACACACATAGGCTCAAAATAAAGGGATAGGGGAAGATTTACCAAGCAATGGAGAGAGAGAGAAAAAAAGCAGAAATTGCAATCCTAGTCTCTTATAAAATGGACTTTAAACCAACAAAGATCAAAAGAGACAAAGAAGGGCGTTACATAATGGTAAAAGAATCAATGCAACAAGAAGAGCTAATTATCCTAAATACACACCCAATACAGGAGCACCCAGATACGTAAAGCAATTTCTTAATGACCTACAAAGAGACTTAGACTCCCACACAATAATAGTGGGAGACTTTAACACTCCACTGTCACTATTAGACCAATGAGACAGAAGATTAACAAGGATATCCAGGACTTGAACTCAGATCTGGACGAAGTGGACCAAATAGACATCTACAGAACTCTCCACCCCAAATCCACAGAATATACATTCTTCTCAGCACCACATTGCATCTGCTCTAAAATTGACCATGTAATTGTAAGTAAATCACTCCTCAGCAAATGCAAAAGAATGGAAATCATAACAAACAGTCTTTCAGACCACAGTGCAATTAAATTAGAACTCAGG